ATTGTACATTGTAAATATGTATATTCTGTAATGCAAAAACAAAACCAAAGAGCAAAGTGTACCGGAGTCAAATTCCTTGTTTGTATGTACGAACTTGGCAATAAAGCTGATTCTGATTCTGATTTACAGTTAATCACATGCCTTGTAGGGGACACAGCAACCATGTTGACGAAGGTGGTCTGTTAGATGATACCAAAACTAAATTTTAACTTTCCGGGCCATGGCTGTGGTGCATGGGTAAAACGTGTGACCCATGTCCACAGGCCTTACTCCTCAACACAGGTCTTTGCACCTTTGTTGCATGTCTTCCCCCCTCTCTCCACCTATTTTCTGTCAGCTTACGGTCAAAATAGAAGCAAATAAAGGCCAATAGAGCTGCAAAAAATTTAATTATTTTTCCTACATGCAAAACACTTTGGCGAGAAACTAACACTCTACATCACCCTAAGCAACACACCTGCATGGTTAAACTTGGTAGTGGCAGCATCATGCTCTGGGGAAGCTATGCAGTAAAAATAGAGTTAAAGGAAAGATGGTAGCTAAATACAGGTTAATCATGTAGGAAAACCTGTTGAGGATGCTACAGCCTTGACAATGAGAACAATCCCAAACATACAGCCAGAGCTACAATGGAATGGTTTAGTTAAAAGCATCTTCATGTGTTAGAATTACCTAGTCAAAGTCCAGTTCTAAATTCAATATGTGGCAAGACTTTAAAATGTATGTTCACAGATGCTCTCCATCTAGTGTTGCTGAGCTTGAGCTGTTTAGCAAAGAAAAATGGTCAAAGATTTCAGTCTCTAGAAGTGCAAACCTAGTTGAGACATACCCCAATCTGAGGACTCGGGTTAAAAGGGTTTATCGATTGAGCGTTCATTGATTCTGAACATTCATGCAGGTATGTCTCAACAAAGTACTGTGAAGTTTTTGTTTGTAACATAACAAAAGTCAAGAAACAATCCATATTGATTATTTTGCAAAACGCTGTATTATCTTAAATTATAAAATACTTCTATGGTTTTTTGATTCAAGGTGTTGATGTAATCCTTGTAATTCTTCTGCTTGACTTTTTTTTCCCAGGGCTCCAACATCACAGATACGTGCACAGAGATGCTGATGCAGGGTGTCCTGCTGAAGATTTCAGCTGGAAACATGCAAGAGAGGGTTTTCTTCCTGTTTGACAAGCTTCTGGTTTATTGCAAAAAGAAAAACAGGTGCGTCTCCTCTCATTTTATCACGTGTCATGTTCATTTTTACACCGCTGTGAATTTTAACATCCTCTAATTTACAGTACAGCCTTTATATCGTTTCCTGTAGTGGTAGTGGCTGATGGTGTAGGGGTTAAGCGCGCGACCATGTACAGAGGCTACAGTCCTCAAGGTGGCTGTCCCAGGTTCGAGTCCTGGACCCGGCGACATTTACCGAATGTCTCCCCCTCTCTCTGCCCCCTTTCCTGTCTACCTACTGTCAAAAATAAAGGCCACTAGTGCTGAAAAAATATCTGAAAAAAAAAAAGGGGGGAAAAGGGGAAGAAATATAATCAGATGTGTTGATTAGCATCAAATCTGATTTATTTGTCTACTTATACAGCCTCACCCACAGGTAAAATAAAAACATCAAACCTAACAGAGAACTGCAGCAAGGGGTGGGATCGTGACATCGGCAACTCTTAACAACAAGCATTAGACACTATCTACATAACAAAAGATTGCCTGGACAGCATTACAGGATGCCTTTTCTGTCCTACATCACAAAGCTAAACACACAGAGATTACTGGAATCTGCTGGGCCTTAACAGGAACCTTGTGCTTCAGTCAGATGAGACTAAAATTTTGATTTTTAGCAGCAGTGAGTCCAGCATAAAACAATCACTGAATATGTGGAAAAGCATCTCATGGCCAATGTTAAATACAGTGGAGGACCTGTGATGATGTGGGCCTGTTTCTCTTCCAAAGCCCCTAGGAAACTTGTAAGAGCACATGGCATTATCATACGTTTGTCTATATAGACATTATAAAGGGACAAAGAGATTTAACCTCTTTAGTTTATTCATGTTGGTTTTATTTTCTGTGTGGAAGACGTTTGAAAAACAGCAAAGCAACCAGCGAAGGTCCACGCTACCTGTTCAGAGGAAGAATCAACACTGAGGTGATGGAGGTGGAAAATGTGGATGATGGCACAGGTAAGCCCTGCAATACGAAATACCACTTCAGTTAGATTGTCTGATTTATGCTCCCTCTGCAGAGAGACTTTAAAGAGACGGCAAATTATGCTCAGAAGTTGACAAATTAATAATCGGCTTAACCAGTGTGATATTACTTTGTGAGAGATTAAAAGTATATTTATCTAATGGCACTTTTACCATCCGTGGTTACATATCCTTGGGGCTGTGCTGCTGCTTGTTCTGGATGAACTCCCACATTTTGTGTCTCTTGGCCTCTCGCAGCCACTGATTATCATTTATATTTGTAGATTTCACCTTTTCCCTTCCAGCAGACTTGGATGGACAGTCGGGTTTTGTGTTTCTGGAGGGAGATTGATGGGTTTGGTTCTGGTAAGAGCAGGAGGATAAACATGCGAAGCAGGCAGCTGAGCAGAAACTCATGGGTGTTCTGCACCACAGACAGGAGATCTGAGTCTGAAATCCAGGGTGACAGGAGTATTTTAGCTGGGATTCCTGGCTAATGAAAGTGCTTTGACGTTTTCCCAGGCCAACACTCGCTGCCTGGGGTTGAAACCAACGCCCTCGAGGAATCCCAAACATAGAACACCACACTATATATGCTTTTAGCTATGTTTAAAAGGGATGGTTATTATTTTATGCTTTTTGTTGCTCCTGAAACAAAAAAAGAAGTTCAGCTGGAGGGTATTTGAATTGTTCTTCAAAAGATGAAAACCAAAAATTCAATGCAACTAAATTTCAGGGGTTCATTTCAGTCTGCTGGCATCTTTGATCATTTCAAAAAGCTCTTACTGTCCACCAGGATCAATTTCATATGTTTGCTCACTGTTGTATTTTTTATTGTAAACATTATTAAAACATCTATTAATACTTTTGGTGACAAACTGTTTTGGTCTCTGTGTCGCAATAGAATATTTAAAAATAATCAAATATATTTTACAATTGTTTTTTTAATACAAATATAAAGCAAAGTAAAAAGAATAAATGAAAGAAAAAATGCCGCCTTTTCTGTTTCATCGCAATGTTTTTCTCGGTTATGCTATTTTTCAGTAGCTTTTACTAGCTTTTGCCATTTTTTGTGCTTTTGATTTTCTCTGTTATTATTTGATTGTTTTCTTTGTTAAAGTTAGTCTTAATTTCAACTTTAGGTCTTATTTTTGTTTATGTTTTTTTCATGTCTCTTTTTTGTGTTTATTTCCTACTACATGTGACCCTGTTTAAAGCTAAAGATGCTGCTGTTTAATCCATACGTTTTGACCTGGTTCCTACAACATTTGCATCAATGAATCTGACCTGTACTTTACATCTTCCTCTTGGTTAAGAGAAACAGGATGAATTATAAATCATTCTCCAAATTAGTTCTTTGTTTGGGGGCATGAACAATAAAAATAAAGATGCAAAGTGTGAGACTCCTTTTAAATATAGTGGATAATTTAACAGGATTCTAGTGAGGATTGCAGGAATTTGTCTTCATTATGAAGATCTGGGTGCAAATCTTTCCTAAATAATTGCAGCATTATGTCCCATATTGTTGTAATGTTCCAAAAACATAAGTAAAAGGTTTGCTCATGCAGTTTATTTCAGACCTGGTTGTAGTATAACAATTCTAGGTTTTTACAAAGGTTAGTTAAAAGAGTTTGGGAGTTAGACATCTTTCACTCTGGACTAAGACGGCACCATGACAATAAAATAAACTGGAATGCAGATGATATCTGCAGGGTCTCTGGGGGTTTTATGGGGTACGTAGAGAAGGCAAATTATGAGTTCTGCTCTTTAGCAGAACTCATAGTTCCACCAGTTATGCCAAATTGTCCAGGCCCTGAAACAGCATAGCAGTGCCAGACCATCACACTACCACCACCATGTTTAACTGTTGGTATGATATTGTTTTTCTTAAATGCTGAATGTATTTGTGTCAAATTTAATAGGATACACACATTCCAAAATGTTCCTCTTTTGTCTCATTAGTCAAAAGAATTTTGTCCCAAAGGTTTTGAGGATCATCACGATATTTTTTGGGCAAATGTTACACAAAGCTTTGTGTTTTTCTTCGTCAGCACTGTTATTTGCCTTGGAACTCTCCCAGGGATGTCGTTTTTGCCCAGTCTCGTTTTTATCGTTCAATCATGAACACCAACCTTACCTGAGGTGCGTGACGTCTCCAATGCTTTGGATGCTTTCCTGCTTTTTTTTGTGACCTCCTTCATGAGTTGTCAATGCTTGAAGTAATTTTGGTAGGCACGCTACTGCTGGGAAGGGACACCATTGTTCCATGTTTTCTCCATGTGTAGATAATGGCTCTCACTTTGGGTCGCTGGAGTCCCAAAGCATTAAAAACGGCTTCAATAGATGGCAGTAACTCTGTGTATCATCTGTTTTTGAATTTCATTACATTGAGGGATGATGTGTTGCTTTTTGAGACCTTGTAACCTACGTCATGTTAACAAACAGGTTCTATTTATCTATTATAAGTAATTTATTGAAATGGTTTTTCTAAAAAATTCTTTGTCTAATAATACAATTTGTTTAATGATCTGAAACATTTAAAGGTGACAAAACTGAAAAATAGAAGGTGTTAGGGGCAAATTCTTTTTCATAGCACAGTAAAAGATTTCTGAGTTCACTGGTGGGTCAAAAGTAGCCATCCTCAAACGATCCACCATCATTCTGGTGCCCAAGAAACCCATCATCCTAGGATTAAATGACTACAGGCCTGTAGCCCTGACGTCTGTGGTCATGAAATCCTTTGAGCGGCTGGTGTTGAAGCACCTGAAAGACATCACAGGCCCCCTGCTGGACCCCCTGCAATTTGCT